AATTCTCAAATAAAACTGAAATAATTATTAGCAAATCAAATCTAACAAGTATAAGAAGGATTATACACCAAAACCAAGTAGGATTTATCTCTGATATGCAAGGCTGGTTTCACATTAGAAAATCAATTAATGTAATTCATCACATCAACAACAAAAAGATAAGATCATATACTCATATTAATAGCTGTAGGAGAAGCATTTGACAAAATCCAACATTCATTGATGCTTTTAAAAACTCTCAGCAAACTAAGAATGGAGAGGAACTTCCTTACCTTAATAAAGCATATCCACAAAAAGCCTACAGCTAACATCATACTTAATGGGAAATAACTAGTGCCCCACTGAACACTTCCATTCAACACTGTACTGGAAATCTCAGCAAATGTCATAAGAAAAGAAAAGGTACTTAGGTTGGAAAGGAAGTCATAAACTGTCTTTGTTCACAGATGACATGATTGTTCACATAAATAATCTCAAAAATTGGTAGAAAAATTCTCCTGGAACGAATAGGAAATTATAGAAATGTAGCAGGATATAAAGTTAATGTGTAAAAGTCACTTACTTTCCTATATACCAAAATGAACAATTCGAATTTGAAATTAAAAACACAATATCATTTACAACAGCACCAAAAAAGAGAAACACTTAGATAAAAATCTAACACACAAAATTCATATAAGGAAATCAAAATAAGTGAAAAGATAAGTAGCAAGACTCAATACTGTTAAGATGTTAGTTCTTCACTTGATTTATAGATTCAACGCAATCCCAATTAAATTCCATCAAGTTATTTTATGAATACTAAAAATTGATTGTAAAGTTTAGAATAGGCAAAATACCCAGAATAGCCAACAAGATACTGAAAAAGAACAAAGTTGGAGAACTAAATATTAAATAAATAACCTTCTCCTAACCTGGGCAGGAACTGAGAGATCAAAACATGACTCAGACAAGCCCAGCTTGGTGAATAAATGAGTTTATTAGGACTCACATAAGAGGCATTCCCAGGTGCAGAGGACAGCTTTGGAGATATGCCCTGCTTCCAATCTCTAAGCTACTTTTAAGTTAATTTTTTGGCTCTTTGCCTACTGTGTGTATATGTGATGGGACTGTTTTCCATGGTAGGTTCTCAGATATTCTCTGGGATGTTTGAATTCTTAGGGACACCTACACCTCAGCTGGGCACTATGGTATTGGCTCACTATCCAACCTTTATGGTTCAAGCAGTGGACATACACCCTTTAAGTAGCATGGTAGGGGATCCTTCACACTAAAATCCACCCTGTCCATAAGCTCATACATTCTTTCTGCCAATCTTGCATGAATGTCTCTGAGCTGGGCATGAGGGGAAGAACTATACGGGCCAATAATGTATAGCCATGGCTTGTGCCTACAGGCCTCATCCACAGTGCACACAAGAGCACAAAAAGCAGACGCTAACTACAATTATAATGCCTTTTAGCAAAACATAACTCCAGTGACTAGGTAAGATGTGTAACCAATCTGAAAACGGGTCAAAGAAACCTGATTGACTTATGTCATAGATCTGATTTGACAAATGATTTAAAGTATCTGTAACAATATTCTCTTTATCAGGGATATAGGCACAACAGATAGTACCTATAATGGAACATGTAGTTAGATGACCATCAGGTTGATGATTGGGCTTCCAAGTGAAGGCAATCCCCAGTGAACCTGAGTTGCATTATTAGTGCTGCTGAACCAGTCACTCCAATTCTGCAGGGGTAAAGGCAGACTATTCCAAGCCAAGGCATATTATTATCATTTGATAGGGAAAGGTATCCATAAACGCAACAATCAGACTGGTTGCTGATTGCTGCTCTAGTCACAGCCCACTCCAGATGCTGTGGGTAGCAGTAACAAGAGCCTATGGACATAGACACAGATGTTTAGTAAGATGCTTCATGGGTGCATCCACTCCTTACAACATTATTAGCACTGTATATTCTCCCATTGTTCTTATCAGGGAGGCTACTATTGGCTTCAGGCCTAGCTAACAGTACCACACATAGCTTCTCTCCCTAGGAGTGGGTAAGCATCCAATTAATTGCTAAGCTTCTGGTCTTGCCCATTCTATGTGCACTGTGCCTGCTCCAGAAGTATTGATGCTGCCCTGTGTTGATATTGTAAGGCTCTCAGACCTCCATTAAGGAACACAGCTGAGATGACCACCCTCCAGTCCCATAAAACCAATCCAGTATGGGGGCACTTTCCAGTTCGACTTCGGGTCCACATAGCTATCACCTCTTGGCAGATTCACTGGTGTTCTCAGGAGCACAGTATGTCCATTTTCTTCAGGAGCATTTCTCAGAGTTGCAGAGGCATCCCTGAGAGTTTGTAGGACCTATTTCACAGGCCTTCCCAACTTCATAGGGAATGATGCCAAGGCCTTCCATTCATCTTTTTATGGGATAGGCAGTGTTTAGAGTGATGGTCTGCTTTCTGGTGATGGCCTCCACTTCTTGCAATGCCCTATACATGGCCAATAACTATTGCTCTAGGACTGTATAATGGGTTCTGCACTCTTTCATAATTGAGACCAAAATCATACAGGTACCATTCACATTGGTTGCTTTTATCACAAACCCCAAGTTACCCCCATGGCATCTTTGTGGCTTCACAAACTCATTATTATATAAAAGATAGCTAGATCCAAATTATTTTTGATAAAATTGAGACCTGTTCACACGACTAAACTTTATTTGCCCCGATAGGTGATCCAAGGAAAGCAGTGGATCAATAATTTGGTAAAACAATTTCTAATGGCAGTTTGATTTTTTAAAAATCTCCTTTATCCATTTTTTTAGGTTCTAAATGAGTTTAATTCTTTACATTTTAGCTAGAACTGGCTGAACTATATAAGGAAAACAAAATATCCAAGTGGCCTTGAATTAGCGAATTTTATCTCAATACCAGTAGCTTAATAACAGTAGATTCAAAGCAGGGAGAAAAGGAAAGAGAAATAAAGAGCTTTAGAAGACTCTACTTAACTCTATAGCTGTAGATTAACCATTTGAGCTCTGAATTTTTCTTGTAATTTGCCCATCAGTTTTAAAATGTGCACAAGAAAGGGCCATAATATGTTACCAGATGGGAGGATTAGAAAACCATGCCTTTGAACTTCTATAAGAGTTTCTACCCTTTTTCCCTTTCCCGCTCTAATGATTTGTCATTAGCCGGCCTTATTGCAATAACACCACATTTATTACCATTATCATATTTTAATATCTTAGCTTCTTGCAATAGGTCTTCAGTCCTTGCCAGTGTTTTCCAAGCATCCCTCTACTCATGCAGTGGCCCACAAAGGCTCTGCAGTTGGGCAACTCCACTCCACATGGAGCCGACCACCCAGGGATTCCCCACCATAGACAGCCATTCCTGATGCTTTGTTTGGTCTCTCTGACCCCGTTTGTGATGCCAATTATAACTAGAAAAATCCAGAATCATATTTTTAAAAAATCTTCCTCCAAACTGGGAGGGAGCCAAGAGACCAAAGAATGACCCAGACAAGTCCAGCTTGGCCAGCGAATAAGTTTACTAGGTCTTACATATAAGACACTTTCAGATAGCAGAGGACAACTTCAGAGACCTGCCCTGCTTTCCATCTCTAAGCTGCTTTTAAGCTAATTTTCTGGCTCTTTGCCTACTGTGAGTGCATGATGGGAACTTTCCTTGATAAGTTCCCAGATATTCTCTGGGATGTTTGGGTTCTCAAGGACACCTGCTCCTCAGCTGAGCACCATGGCCTTGGCTCACTACTTGGCCATCAAGGACACCTGCTCCTTGGCTGGACACCATGGCATTGGCTTACTACTTGGCCATTAAGTTTCAAGCAGCGGGTATATACCCTTAAGTAAACTGGTGGGGGACCTGCAACCCTAATCCAGTAACAAGGCCTACTTCTCCTCGTCCATCACATGTGACTTTGGGAAAATTACTTATATTCTTTCTGGTTCGGTTCTGCCACCCACAAACCAGAAATAATGATACCAGGTCCAGCCCTGTCTCTTCTTTCTGGGGTTGTTGTGACATTTGGAATGAGATTATGGGTTTAAGAAACTTTAAAGGGTTAGAGTAATACAAAATGTAATGAATTTTACACCTCAGACTAACCTGATATAAAATCTCTACTGATAAGTCTGTAAAGACCTTAGCTCAGTGCCTAGGATTCAGTAAATGCTTAGCGGATGTTAGCTATTAGTGTTACCACTCTTTTTCTTGTTAGACTGTGTTCCTAATCATCCAAGGATGAATCTGGTAGTCTATTATTAGCCTAAATCTTTAAACATTAGAGGTACTGCCTTCTGAATTGTCACCAGGCCTAATGTCATGTAGACTGTAAACAATCCCCCAACTTAAGATAACTGTTCTACGAATGCTTTTCATTTCCATAATTTCTTGGCTCAATGCTGTTGGTCAGCACAACAAAGACCAAGTTGGTGATGATGACTGAGTGATGAAATAGTGATCAAAGGGACAGGTGAAGCTAGTGTAACAAAGATGGGAGGGGCTGGGGAGAGTATAAGTAACTGTTAGGAGGTTCACAGCAAACCTCAGGACCTTTTCTCCCTGAGCTAAGGTAAACAATATTGTCCCTCATAACCCTGGTCTCAAAAACTTTGCAGGGAAGATAAGTCCGGAGCCTAGAGCTGCTTTTCCACAGACAACTGAACTACCTTCAAACAGATGTGTTTTTAGGGACAGCAGACAGAAGGAGCTGAATCCAGGAGTTTCCTTCCCTGAAATGCCCCAATAGAGGCACGGTCCTCCACCTTCCCTGGAACAGAAGGGCTTTCATCTGTCTATCTGGAGCCATCTCCTCTCCCGTTTATGCCCAGAACTGCTTTCCCACCCCATGGAGTGCCCCGTACCTAACTATAGCCCCTGAATCTACCAGGTGTTCCCGAGGAGACAACAAACCCAATCGCTTCACACTCTTCTGATTTTCTCCATCTCACAGGGGGAGGAGCTGGATCACCATGAAATTTGTCTTCTATTTGGGTGTCCTTGCTGGTATGTACTCAGACTTGTACTCTGTTCTATAAGGCAGAGGTAAATGGATGGGATGAGGCAGAGGCAGGGTGTGTAAAGGGTACGGAAAAAGTCAAAAATAGTGTCATCAGCAGAATTAGGGGGCCTGCCTTTTAGACACCATCGAAAGGCTCTCTGGATAGGCTGAGCCTACTTTTCTGATGTTAAGCTATAGGGTGGGTTAAGGCACTCACACGCCTTGGAGAAGGACTCCCACCGACCCTGATTATTCAAAAAGATGAGCCTCATCGCCATCTGGCTAAGCCCCAATGTGGTCACAAGGACAGAGAACTCATTTTCACCTCTGATATTCATCTATTTCCAAAACTTTAAGGACTCAGAATGCAGGAGACAGAGAAGGTAGAAACAAAAGATCAAATACTAGGGCCCTACCTTCTATAGTCCCTGCCCCACACGGAGTTCTTCTGATGGCAGAATTTGCAGGTGAGGCATTTCCCACCACTCTGACTGCCTAGGTTGTATCACACATTAGCTGTCTGAGATTAGGCAAGTTAATTAATCCTTCTGTGCTTCAGTGTCTTCAAAATGGGGGTACGACTACCTGTGTTATAGAGTTATTGTGAAGATTAAACAAATCTGTGTAAAGCACTTAGCACAGTGCCTGCTATAGAGAGCTCAATGTCTCTTGCCCTTGTTGATCATCTACCCTTTTCTCCTTGGGGCTTCTAACTGTGTGATCACACAGAAGGGTGTGGGGAGGTACAGGCCCAGGCTTGGGGAAGATTAACAGGAGTACCAAGAGCAGCCAAGACAAGAACAGGGCTTCATTTCTGATACTGGAATCAGTCTTCCTATTGTATATTTACAACATACCCTAGAGAATACCCTTTATTCTCTAGGGTATGTTGTAAATAATTCATTCATAAAAACAATACATGCTCATATTACAAAATTTAAATATTTTTAAAGTAGAAAAATAAGCATCATTCATAATCCCACCCCTTCATCAACACATGTTAACACTTTGAGTTTACTCCCAGACTCTCTATATTTTTTGTGTTTAAATGGTTTCTTATTTACTTGTTTTTAGACAAATGGATTATATATACATTGTTCTTTTCCGTTTTAACTTAAATAAGCATTAATATTTTTTTCTGTTTAATATTCTAATTCAATTTTTAATATATATGATGTTCTGTTTTTTCATGTGCTTCATTTCCATGTCCAGCATTACCATCAGACATTTATGTTTCCAATGTCCAGCTGTTATAAACAGGGCTAATATGAGCATACTTGCAATCCTTGTCTATATCTGATTTTTTTCTTTAGAATGGATTCTTGGGGTTGGAATGATTGGGTCACAGGTTATAAACAATTTATTATTCTTGATGCCTATTTCTAAATTGCTTTTCAAGAAGATGGAATCAATTTACTAGCAGTGATGAAAGTTTCTCATTGTACTCTCTTAGATTATCAATATTAAAATTATTACAAATATGAGATAAAATGGCACATCATTTTAATTCACATTTTTATTAGAAAAACATGTCAAATACATTAACATTTCCTGACCATTAACAATTGATAACTGTTTAAGAATCATCCAGATTCCTTTTCAACTAGGAGACTATTATCTTATGTTTTTAATATTTATGTATTAAGAATGTTCATTATTTTCTCAGGGACCTTTTTCTTTGCTGATGCATCTGTTCAGAAAGAAGACCCTGCTCCCTATTTGGTATACCTCAAGTCTCACTTCAACCCCTGTGTGGGCGTCCTCATCAAACCCAGCTGGGTACTGGCCCCAGCTCACTGCTACTTACCGTTGAGTATTTGGGCATCTCCATCCCCAAAACAGCTACTGTTCAGTCTAGATCAGTGGCTCTCAGATAAGGGTAACTTCTCCCCAGGGTACACTTGGCAATGTCTGAAGATATGTTTGGTTGTCACAACCAGGGGGCAGTGCTACTGGCAGCTAATGGGGAGAGGCTAGAGCAAAGATGCTGTTCCACATCCTGCAATGCACAGCACAGTCCCCACAATAAAGACTTGTCCAGCCCAGAATAGCATAGGAACCCTGTGCTTCATGTTATGCCTCCTCAGTCTCTCATAAGTTTTTTTCAAGTATTTTTTTACTGGCAATTTGAATGCATTTTATCAATTAAAGATCTAGCAGGTAACTGATGATGCACTCAAATTGGGTCAACTGAGGTGCATTTTAAAAAGAAACTAATTGTAAAGGTATGGAGCCATTAAAGGGATGATACTAAGAATAGTTCCATACCAGCAGGGTTTGTATTGAGAAAATGCAGTTACCACTCCTAGGCCTAAAAAGGCAAGAGAAGAAAACAATTTCAGAGGAGGCAGGGAGAGATAGAGACAAGGCGAGACCTGTGTGAAGAGACAACCTGATTGGAATCGTAACCCCCAGTCAAGGAACACAGCCACTCTGTGACAAAACCAGAGAGGGATCTGGGAGGGTGAGTACTCCAATCTCACTCTTCTCCCTCCAGTACTTTCTGGTGCTTCCTAGTGGCCAATACAAGGAAGCCAGAGGACAAGAAAGCCCATTGATTAAATCCATATATGTCCCCTTCCAAAGGTGCAGAGCAGAATAGAATAGGGTTGTTAGTGCATCAGCTAGTGAACCAAAGAGGAGACGCCCAGAACTAGGTCATCTCATTCCCTGGTCTTCACCAACATGGAAACTGTCCAGTTAGATAGGTGAGAAAATTACATTTCCTTGAATTGCATCATCTTCCTCTCCTGTACATTAAAGAATACAACATTATAACGTAGTGAAGAGCTCCAGCACTTACTATATCACCGTGAGTGGATTACTCCTATGTGCCTCATTAATTCATGGGCTAAATGGGGATGAAAATAGAATCCACTGGGTAGACTTGTTGTGAGTTAATTGAGATAATCCAGAAAAAGCACTTGACACAGTTCCTGGCACTTTGTAACATTCAGTATCTTGGCCATGATGATGATAGTGATTACTTCCAACCCCTTCTCCCTCCAGAAATCTGAAAGTGATGCTGGGAAATTTCAAGAGCAGAGTCAGAGATGGTACCGAACAGACAATTAACCCCATCCAGATCATCCGCTACTGGAACTACAGTGATAGCGCCCCACAGGATGACCTCATGCTCATCAGGCTGGCTAAGCCTGCCACGCTCAACCCCAAAGTCCAGCCCCTTCCCCTCGCCACCACCAATGTCCGGCCAGGCACTGTCTGTCTACTCTCAGGTTTGGACTGGAGCCAAGAAAACTACGGTAAGTGTGCCTTCCACAGCAAGTCAGGTCATCAGTTGTCCTTTAAGAGGAAGATCCATGTCCTCATAGCTATGAGAAGAGAGGAGGAAAGGAGAATGAGAGGAGACCTAATGGAGATGCTACACGAGTGGCCTGGCAATCAGAGACCTGCCCAGAGGAACAAAGCTCCTCCTTTCCCGGGTGTCTAATGCCCCACGGCCTCTGCAGGGCTTTGGCAGCTAGAGCCACCAGGCCATCTGACTCTGCACAGAGGCCCAGCCATTCCTGATTGTCAGAGGCACAATCACATGACAAAGTAGGACCATTCATATGTGTGGTCCTACTTCTCCTACTTGCTCATTTCACATGTGAAGGACCCCTCTGAGAATTGACGCAGGTCATTTAGTCCTCCAAGACAGGCCACCGATAAAAAATAAACTACCTCGAAGAGACGTAAAGCCTGTTTCAAAATCCTTGAGATTAGCTCACAACCATGCTCTTGATGAGGTCTCCCCTTTTCCTCATTCCTTATTTTCTTTAAACACACACAAAAAGACACAAGTTGAAATAGAGGCTGATGGTTAGAAGGACTAAATCACAACTGTCAGCAGGATGTTTTATGTTATCCCCACCTCTCTCAGGCCGACACCCTGACCTGCGGCAGAACCTGGAGGCCCCCGTGATGTCTGATAAAGAATGCCAGAAAACAGAACAAGGAAAAAGCCACAGGAACTCCTTATGTGTGAAATTTGTGAAAGTATTCAGCCGAATTTTTGGGGTAATCTTCTCTCTCTATTCAGCTTTCATTTATTTGCATATGCTCAGTTAACTATTTACATTTTTTTTTTTTTGAGACGGAGTTTCACTCTGTTGCCCAGGCTGGAGTGCAATGGCGTGATCTTGGCTCACTGCAACCTCTGCCTCCTGGGTTCAAGTGATTCTCCTGCCTCAGCCTCCCGAGTAGCTGGGACTACAGGCATGTGCCATTACGCCCAGCTAATTTTTGTATTTTTAGTAGAGACAGGGTTTCACCATGTTGGCCAGGATGGTCTCTATCTGTTGACCTCGTGATCCATCTGCCTTGGCCCCCCAAAATGCTGGGATTACAGGTGTGAGCTACTGTGCCCAGCCAACAATTTACTCTTAACGTAACAATTTTTTTGATTTGTAAATAATTTGAGAATTTTATAAAGCTGCTGCCAAGTCAGTACTGTTTCTTCAGTAATGGGCTTCCCTTAAAGTGTCTTTATTCATTAAAGGGTATAGTAAAGTACGTCCAGTTAAACACACCATTTGCTAGGTGTTCATTCTCATAACTACAAGTAAAATTGTGAAAACACCCATTTTTTTAAAAAAAATCAGACTTCACAAATAGAAAATGCCTTCACCACTTCAAAAACATGGAGTTTGATGTATTTTACACGTGACTTCTAGAGAGGCTGTTCTCTGACTTTCTCAAGGTCACACAAAGCTAATTATAGCAAAGTGAAAAAAAAAAAGGGCTCAAGCTTTCTGTCCCCTGATTCAGTGCTCTTGTTGTGAGTCCAGCATATGCCTGCAGACAGGGCTCAGCCAAGCGGGACACCAAGGCTCCCGTGAGAAGATCTGACACACTCACTCTCTCTCTCACACTCTTCATCTCTGCATGATCTCTGGTAGGAGGTGGCCGTTGCTACTGTCATCTGCAAAGACAAGCTGCAGGGGATCGAGGTTGGGCACTTCATGGGCGGGGACGTCGGCATCTACACCAATGTTTACAAATATGTATCCTGGATTCAGAACACTGCTAAGGACAAGTGAGACCCTACTTCTTCCTCTGCATTCCACTGGCTCTGCCATGGACTGTACAAGCAGAGAATTTTCCCTCAATTCAAAATAAAATCTCCAAATAAAAATTTGGGAATGTAGCATACCAGTAGCCCATGTTTTCTTGTTTGTGTCTCTGTATCCTACAATGATGAGAAGAACCAAGATCAAATCATGAAATGAGCATTTACTACACTGTCCTGGATTGCATTCATTATCTCATTTAATGCTCATAACAAAGCTTTGAGGTTATCTTTTGTTCCAACTTTACACATGAAAAAATTAAGGCTAAAAGAGGTTACTTAACATTGCCTCTAGCTGGTAGACATCAGAGCCTGAAATGGAACCCAAAATTGCCATATTCTAAATCCCTTGCTATTAGTCTCAGTGTTATGGGGGAGTCTACGGCATCACAATAGATGTTGGCTATGTATTTGCCTCCCTCTCTTTCCACTCAAAGGGCTTGAAGCTCTCACTTGTGGCTAAGATCTTGGGTACTGGGCTAAGCTTCCCTAAGAAAAGTCATGCCTCATCTCAGTGCTACATAAATTGCAGTACGTTTAGAGAGAGAGTTAGTGGAAGAGTAGAAAGTAAAAAACAAAACTTCAGAACAAGGTCAACAATCATAAATCAAGTCCAAAAGGGAGTTTGGCAGCTTGGTAAAAGGTGAAGATGTCATCTAGATCCAAAGAAGATATGGTCCCAGGCAGTAGTGCAGCTTGAAAGGCAGAGACGGCTGAGATGAGGTGAAGGACAGAAATTGGGCTTAGCCCCAGACCATGGTCCTGAAATAGCCAGGAAAGCAGGCACCAGTCCTATGCTTGAGAAGCTGGTAAAGCTCTGCTATAGTCTGAATGTTTATGTCCCCCCTAAATTTGTAAGTTGAAACCTAATCCCCAAAGTAATGGTATTTGGAGGTGGGGCCTTTGAGAGGTGATTAGTTCATGTAGGCAGAACCCTCACAAATGGGATTAATGCCCTCATAAAAGAGAGCCAGAGGGCTCACGTCCCCCTTTTGCCAAGTGAGGTTACCGCAAGAGACAGAAGTCTATGAACCAGGAAGTGAACTTTATCATACACCAAATCTGCTGGTACCTTGATCCTGAAATTCCCAGGCTCTAGAACTGTGAGAAATAAATTTTTGTTGTTTATAAGCTTCACACAGTCAACAGTATTGTCATAGGTGATAGAGTAATTCCAGATATCCAAAAGACAGGGACATGTAGGACAAGAATGAGTAAAGCAGCCTCCCCGCAGGTGAAGATTCAAGAAAAAACTTCACATTATCCTTGGAGTCATATTTTCTACTCTTACGGTTTAAAATACAATCTATACTTTAATGGACTTTGTAGTAGGCAGAATAATGGCCCTGCAAAGGGACCACACTCTAATCTCATGCATATAGTATAATCAGATTTAACTATGGTTCTGAACTTCGAAATTGGCAGATTATCCTAGATTTTCTGGTGAATCCAATGTCACCAAATAGAGGCATGGTGGATCACAAGGTCAGGAGTTTGAGACCAGACTGGTCAATATAGTGAAACCCATCTCTACTAAAAATACAAAAAAAAAAAAAAAAATAGCCAGGTGTTGGCACATGCCTGTAATCCCAGCTACTCAGGAGGCTGAAGTAGGAGAATTGCTTGAACCTGGGAGGCAGAGGTTGCAGCGAGCCAAGATCGCACTATTGCACTCCAGCCTGGGCAACAAAGTGAAACTCCATCTCAAACAAAAAAAAAGTGAAAAAGGAAAGCAGAAGATGTTGCTGGGGAGATGTAACAACAGAACAAGAGGCAGGAGAGATTCAAATCATGAGAAGACACTGACCAGCTATTGCAGGCTTTGAAAAAAATAGAAAGGGAACCTGCAAGGCAAAGAATGTGAGCAGCCCCTAGAAGCTGGGAAGGGCTCTCAACTGAAGCTGGGAAGGGCTCTCACCTGACACTGGCAAGGAACTGGTGGATCACAGCTGTACAGAATTCTGCAACCAATCTGCATGAACAAGGAAATAGACTCTCCAGAAAGGTGCATAACTCTGTTGACACCTTGATTTTAGTCAGTAAAATCTTTGCCCAACTTCTCTGACCCACAGTGCTGTAAGATAATACATTTGTGTTGCTTTAGGCTACCTGTAGTAATTTGTTACAGCAGCCATAGAAAACACACTTTTAAATTCACATATCCAAAAACAGCTACTAGTACTTTTTATAATGAAATGTTAAAACCTTCAATGGCTCCCAGTTTTCCTGAGAATAAATTCGAAATTCTAGGCTTAGAATGGTAAACTTAGAACTCTAAACTTATAATGGTATCTAGACTTTCTTGAGACTTCCCATACACCCCTTCCCATTACACCCCCCTCCAAAAAAAGTATTTTTCAATAAACATTCTGCCACTTGGAATTGTTTTCTGACTCCGTGAAATGCAAATTTGGGTACAAAAGAATGTCAGAGAAAAATATAAGGAAGAGGCCAATACCCTCTCTTTAAGTTGGTAACCTGGTCAAGACCCAAACATAACACAGCCAGCTCCATTTAAAAAACAACAGGCTAGGCACAATGGCACACACCTGTAATCCCAGCAATTTGGGAGGTGGAGGCAGGTGGATTCCTTGAGCTCGGGAGTTTGAGACCAGCCTGGACAACACGGCAAAACCCTGTCTCTACAAAAAAATTTTTTTTAATTAGCCAGATGTGGTGGTGTGTGTCTGTGGTCCCAGCTACTTGGGAGGCTGAGGTGGGAGGATCACCTGAACCCAGTAGGTCAAGGCTGCAGTGAGCCGTGATCACACCACTGTACTCCAGCCTCGGTGACAGAGTGAGACCCTGCCTCAAAAACAACGACCACCACCAACATTTTTCAGCTGAAATTAAATCTTCAAGTATTGAAATCATGTCCCAGGCAATGGGAGCTATTTCCTCTTTTCCCAATTGCCTATAATTTAGGCAAAAGCAAATCATACCAATTACTATTCAATTAACTCCTCTAGTTTGTCTTCTCTCCCCAGTTAGGGTGCTGTTCTCCAGGCATAGTGACCAGCAACATGGGCTTCGAGGCTGAAGTATCAAGAGGATACTTTGCCTGACTGTGGTGGATACTCCCCCAATGTCTCTTGCCCTCTACTCCTCCTTTCACTCCTGGCTCCTACATCTGAGGTTGTACTGTGCTCTTTCCTTCAGGGAGGTGTCAGCTGATCTTCACTGATGTTATTTCCCTTATCTCCATCCCCAACCTCCCCGAAGGGTTTGAGATTGTATTCCACCTTTGACAGAGAGGCAAGTTGCCTAACGTTCGCCTCCCAGGTTCAAGCTATTCTCCTGCCTCAGCCTCCCGAGTAGCTGGGATTACAGGCACCCACCACCACACCCAGTTTTTTTTTTGTTTGGTTTTTTTGTATTTTTAGTAGAAATGGGGTTTCACTATGTTGGCCAGGCTGGTCTTCAACTCTTGTTTAGCTTGTTTTCTATGTGAAAATATTTTAACTATTACTGTTTCGATTTATTAAATAAGTAGCCAGATTCTTATTCCTAAATCAGTTTTGGTAAATTGTATTTTTCTAGAAATTTACAATTTCATCTAAGTTTTCAAATTTCCTGAAGCAAATTTATAGTATCTTTTTATTTTTTAATATTTTAATATTTTCTGTATCTGTAGCTAAGGACCATTCTGCATTCATACTATTTAGCTTCCCACTTTTATTCCTAATTTATCTCATCAGTGGTTTCTTAATCTGCTCAGGGCACCATAACAAAATACCATAAACTGGGTAGCTTATAAACAACATAAATATATTTCTCACAGTTTTAGAAACTGCAAAGTCCAAGATCTAGGCACTGGCAGATTCAGTGTCTGATGAGGGCCCACTTCCTTGTGGATAGACAGCCATCTTTTCCCTGGATCCTTACATGGTATAAGGGCAAACGAGCTCTCTAGGACCTCTTTTATAAGGGTACTGTATTAGTCTGTTTTTACGCTGCTGATAAAGATATACCTACTGGACAATTTACAAAAAAAAGAGGTTTAATTGGACTTACGGTTCCACGTGGCTGGGGAAGCCTCACAATCAAGGTGGAAGGCAAGGAGGAGCAAGTGACATCTTACCTTGATGACAGCAGGGAAAGAAAGAAGCGCTCGTGTATTGGAACTCCCTTTTATAGCCATCAGATCTCATGCGCCTTATTCACTATCAAAAGAACAGCATGGGAAAAACCTGCCCCCACAATTCAATTACCTCCCACTGGTTCCCTCTCATAACACGTGGAAATTCAAGATGAGATTTGGGTAGCAACTCAGCTAAACCATATCAGGCACTAATCCCCTTCATTAAGACTCTACCCTCAGTACCTGACAGCATCCTCAAAATCCCACCTCCAAATACCATCACATTGAGGATTAGGTTTCAATATACAAATTTTGGAGGGACACAAACATTCAGTCTATACCAAATGACTTTTCTACCTTGTTACTCTTTTCAAAGAACAAACTTTTGGGTTTTTTTCATATATATCAGTCAGAAAAACAACACACTTGAAGAAATAAATGAAGAAAATTTAATAAATAATTTGTGAGTGCTTGGGAAAGATTAAAGGAATCGTGATCATTTGAAATTTTATTTATATTTTCCATTGATTTCTTCCATATCTTTATTATCTCTTTCCCTCTAGTCCTTAGTCCAAGGTCATTGAAAACTAACTTTTCAGTTAGTTAGAAATTTTGCATATCACCCATGTTCTGCCCTGAACCCACAATTTATCAATCCTATTCAGTCTAGCATTCAGAATGCTTCCAATTTTTCGGTTTTATAAATAACTGTGTGATGAACATCTTTGTAAAAGCAACTTTACATAGATCTTTAATAGAGATATATCTACAAAGTATAATTGCTATATGAAGATATATACCTATGTGTTAAAATATACGGTCAAATTGTCCCTCAGAATATTATACCAATTAGTGCATCCATTCTCAATGTATGAGAACATCCTTTCCCCGTATTCTCAACAAAACCGTTATCTCTCTTTTTTTAATCTTTGCTAACTGGATAAACACAAAATGGTATTACAAAATGTCAATTTTTTATGACTAGTGAGAAATAACAATG